GTAAGTAACAATGTTAACAAATATAAAAATAGGTGTTATCCCAATTTGGCTGGAAATGTAGAAATACACTATAAAGCCTAGCTAAACCCAAAAACAAAAATGGAATATACGGTAATGCAGCTTCCTAATCCTAATGTGTTGTCTGCATTAGTTTGATTTTTTTGGCGTTTTTCACCTGGTGATTCTGCCGGTACATCTGTTATTTTTCAGCTTCACTTAAAAATAGTGAACTTCCTGTCGCATTGGGGCTGCACTGGCTGCTTTTTCCCCCAAAGCACATACAAGGTTGGCTTAGTTCACACCACCACATAAGCATTCAGCTCGACATCCTGTTGTGAATGGGCTATAAAGACTAAGCTGTCCAGCAAAAGTGGCATTTAGAGGGTTACAACACATCATCTAACACTGACAGAAATGCTAACAATGATCAGCTTTTATTCATTTGGGTAAAACCTTTATCTCAAAAGGAAAAATAATGTTGCTGTAACTACTTAAAAATTGTTAATTAGAGTTCATTGATGAATTTGTTGATCAAGTCCAATTAAAGAAGATCTATGAGGTGAGTGATTTCAACTCATCCTCATAGTTAGAGCCGACCTGTGACAAAGAAGCTGTCACAGGTCGGCTCTATCGATTGGGAAGTGAGCAGAAACATGCACCGATCCACTCACTTCTCGATCATCTCCCTGCAGTGAGCGGTGACTGCCAGTCACAGCTCCCCGCAGGGATTCCCCCCTTCCCAATCCTCCAGCACGAAGTGGAAGAACGGATGGGGGAGGGGGCAGGCACAGCTGGCTCTGCCTCTAGATAGGCAGAGCCAGCTGTCACTCACGCAGCTGGATAGATCTCGACAGTAATGCCGGGATCCGTCCCGGCTGCAGCGCTCACAGTATATTGCGGGCAATAGCCCGCGATATACTGAACTTTGGGTCACGGGAGGACGCTAGTATATGTCCTGCCATGACCCTAAAGAGAAGGATGGGGAAAAACACTTACTACACAAATAATATTACAAATAATTGCAAACTCCGGCTCCTCAACTGGGGAGAAACTACAAATGCCATGATCCATCTGACTCTGGGATTCATGCCTGTGGCTGAGCATCTTGCAATGCCTAATTGTGGGATTTTTAGTCCTGCAACAGCTGGAGGGACGGAGTTTGCCTATCACTGGTATACAGGCATTCTGTTGTTCACCTGAGACATTTACATGATGGATTGGCTTGGTGCAGGCTGAAAGGATCTTCCTGATGCTCCTGAATAGGGCTTAGCTTTAGCCTACATGCTCTGCTCGTGACAGTTTCAAGCAGCATGTCGACACAAGTGGGTAGCACAAAGTACTATTTACACTTCATTTGAGTTGTGTTCAGGATCTGCCATTTGTATTTCCGTCACACTTCTCATAGGCTAACTTTAGGCTGTATTCAGGAGCATCAGGAAGATGTGTTCAGTGCAGGTACAGGTAATAAATCATGACAGTGGTTCAAATGGTGCACAGCCGGGATTCATACTTGCCGAAAACAGCCATGAACCTAGTAGTTGTAGCCAACACTAAAGCTGCCCATTCACCTTACAACCATCGCACGACTTTGGTTGTAAGGTGATTAAAATTCCATACGAACTTCCCATCTTGGACAGGCAGATCGTACTTGCGATCCTCGCCAGCCCTCACCGCTGAGGGGAGGTCTTGCCGATGTTTGCAATGCTGAGCGGGTAATGTGCGCTTGCGGCTTTTGTCTTGCGATCGCGCTACCAACCCACTGAAAATCGTACGATGTTCGGCGCGTTTTCTAGCATGCTCGTAAGACGAAAGTTGTGCGACCGTACAGTAAATGTGGTCGGACGCTGCCCATACACCTGCCGATTATCGTACGATCGCGGGATCACCCGCGATTATCGTATGATAATCGTCAGGTGTATGGGCACCTTAACCCAGTAGCTTTCTTTATCTTTGGTTTATGTGTTGAGACCTGGCTTAAAGATAACACTTACACCAAGGGTAGGCAGCCTTGGCACTGCAGCTTTTGTGGAACTACAAGTCCCATGAGACATTGCAAGACCCCAGCCATGACTCCCCCGACTTTGCCTACCCCTGATCTGCACCATATAAAAATTAAAAATAATGCTAAATAATATGTATCTTTCAAATGACCTGTACAACCAGAAGGTTGTGAGCTACACGGTCTATCTATAAAGAATTACACTTAGGGTAACATCTCCTGTAAACATAATCTTTCTGTTTACTGTGGGCATTGTGAGCACCAGGGTGAGGTTCACTGTTGGATGGAACCTTTTTTTCCAGCGAAACCAAACACCTCTAGCGACGCGCGGACATTTTTATGGGAGAATGAGTCGTGGCTTATTCATGTGTACATAGCGCCACCCATTCATATGTAAATATCACAGTCAAGACTATTTTCAGTGGGGGAGCCAGTAGGCCCTACCTTCATTTTGGTTGCCCCCGTCTGCCTGACATCTTGTGTCGGTGTTTCAGCTGCCATGAAACCCGGACACAGCATTCAAAACCTGTCAATCCTGGACAGGTGGCAACCCTAGATGGAACTGCACTATGTGTTATGGTTATTTTTTGGAGGTCGACTGAGAAAGGCTTCTTATTCTACCACAGGCCCAATATTTTCTTTCCTTCACACACTGGTACAGAACTTTCTACATTGTACATTTTTGGTCCTGTTAGAAACCATGTAAACTGTTTACACCGAAGTAGCTGCTCGCGAAACTCTCCTTTTAAAATGGTTGTGTTGGGTGTTCCAGTGTTGGAATTTGGTCTGCGGCTCCGGTATCGGTTGAGCTTGTGTACACATCAAGTAGAAGCCAATTTCATTCTCTGTGTCATATAATAACAGCAGAACAAATAGCATTGATATGAACCACAAAACAAAACACTGCGTTTCACAATCCCATGGAGTCAGCACCTAGAGGAGGTCATACGTATAATGTTGTGTTCAGTGAAATAATGTACACTTTTATTAGAGACATGACATATACATCGCATTGTACTTCACAGAAAGAGGTTTTTGTCTTAAATAAAGGCTGGAGCTCCAATGGTTATCCCATATGAAGATCAGACAAAACAAAATGACAACACACTGCAAAGCAGGCCATACACTCTGGTTGTAGAAGGAGGCGGGTGGAAAATTGTCAGCTGAACAGTAACTGCAGCCAATCAGATTTTATATGTGCAGTCGCTGTTCTGGTATTCTGACAGCCACGGATGCCGGCTGGCAGAATACAATAGCCTGGCAGGGCATATTTCTCCATCCATGCTGTTTAGTGTGGATAGGGGGGATTTGTTAGATTTCTAGTAATCTGTAAGTGTATGGCCATCTTTAGCGATACATGGAGATATATAATACTATGAGCACTAGATGCACTGTAAATGATCCCCTTTGATGCATTGCCTCCTTACTCTTCTCCATGATGCCGTCAAGATTGAAGAGACAGTGACTGAAAATAAATCCCGGGATTTTCAATGGCCTTGGTTCACACCTGAGCAGAAAAACGCCAAACGACAAGGTACAGGAGCTTCTTTGGGCAGATAAAAGCCACACAGACTTCATTGGAAATGGCCAAAAACGTGCGGCAGAAGCATGTTGCCCATTTTCGTGAGCGTTTTTGCGTGTTTGTTTGCCCATAATGTTTTATGAGCTGCTAGTCAAAATGCGCATCTTCATGTATGCTTGTTAAAACGCGCTTTAAAATGTCCACAATGCGCAGATAACCGTATGCTGCTATGGCACGTAGAAACACGCAAAAACGGTGCCACCTAGGTGTGAATCAGGCCTAAGTGTCTATTTACAATGTATTTAATACACACGTTAGCATACCATAGAACACCCAAAAAAACGATGCATGCACTATTTTTTCAATGCAGCACACCACAACGCCTGGTGGTCTGTTACTGTGCGTTGTGGTGTCCTGTAACACAGGGACATTGGGGTGCTATTCAGAATCAATTGCAATGCAGCTCACCAATGGAACAACGCGATTCCACCTGAAAGAAACAAAAGTAGATGTATTTTTTCAAGAATCTTTTGCCTGAGTGAGTGTAATTGCGATGAGGTAATGCACTGCTGAGGCAAACGCAGCTCTGAGACAAATGTGTTGGTGTGCATTGTTTTTGTGCCCATTCTCATGCATTGGTAGTCTATTAAAAATGAATAGGTTACTTTTACACAATTATTAATATTATTATACAGGATTTATATAGCACCAACAGTTTGTGCAGCGCTTTACAATATAAGGGAGACATTACAATACAAATGAAGACAAGGTAGTAAGGAGGGCCATGCCCGTGAGATGCATGTTACAGCAAGACACAACGCACATTGGTTAGCACAACACACAAGAACAGCAAAACTTCACCAATGACAAAATCTGTAATGTCATGGTAAAATCGATTTTGCCAAAATCAGCCTGTGCATTCCTACACAGCGACTAATGGGATATCTGTAAGCACAACAGCTGGAGATCTGGGAATTACTATAGCCTCAGCACTACAGCTGTAATGAAACTACAAATTCCATCATGCCTTACCTCTGGGACTCATGCATGTGGCTGTCCAAGTCCGGCAATGCCTCATGGGACTTGTAGTTTCCCAACAGCTGGAGTGCGGAGGTTGCCTAATCACTGCGCTGCACAACACACACACCTTTTCTCATCACTCTATAAACACCACACAACTACAATTTAGCACTACAAATACAAATTTCTTTAAACTCTCGCTTCATGAAACTATTTTTGTAGAACCACAAACCTCGGCCCTCCTATACGGTTTTAACAAAGGTGAAACAGATCTGTGACTGCATTAGGCATACAGGGTTAATGTCAGTCTGTAGCAGAGGTTCAGAGGGCAATGAGTGTGTGGTGCGACACACTCAGCTGTTCTCCATTCACATCCCCCCTACAGAAATTCCAGAGGTTTCCCTGCTTTTTGTCCTCCTCAAGCCACCGTAAGGTGTCTGGGAATTGTTACCATGGAGACGGAGAGAAGTTTGTGCCAGTGTTTTACAAGATGGAGAAATACCAGAGGATCCGGGTGGTCGGCCGAGGGGCATTTGGGTGAGATTGTTGGGATGTCTATGGGGTTAATGCAGCTGTTAGGATCACTGTGTGGTTATTGCTGTAGTTTTATACAGAGCATTAGTACACTGAGATCGTAGCTTGTCCAGCTGTTGTGGAACTACTAGTCCCAGCATGCTCAGTGTGGTGGGTTATACTTACAGGTCACCCTTCTTGTTCCTAGAAGTCGACATAACTCCCAAAGATCCACATTTAGACCTTTCAGCTGTAATTACATAGTGCACATTCACATCAGTCCCTGCCCTCCAGGAGCCTACAATCTAAGGTCCCTATCTCACACACATACATACAGGGCAATTGACCTACCAGCATGTCTTTGGAGTACCCGGAGGAAACCCACATAAGCACAGGAGAACATGCAAACTCCTTGTAGATAGTGTCCTGACCAGGATTTCAAACAGGGACTCCCTTTCCCTCACGCCTTTGCATTCCCTGAACCTGCGTAAAACATATGCAATGACGTGTTCACACAACGTGTCAGAAACATGCAAATTTGCTTGCGGTGTTATTACTTGTTAAAGGCACCCCTAACGTGGCCGGGAAAACACGTGCTTTTTTCTGCATGTAGATTTGCATCGAACGAGCACATATGCATGGGGAAAGAAAGCAAGATACTCACAGCTGAAAATGCTGCATGTGTTACGTTTCCCACATGCATGAATTTAGTGGGCGACAACATGCGACAAACGCGCAGGGGGGGCGGGACATAGGCGAATGCGCACAAATGCGATGTGGGTTCATGGAACACGATGGTGTGAACAGGGACTAAAAGTACATTTGATATTAACGTCTATACAGTAGAAATCTAATCATGAAAATCTCTATAAATGTAATTTAAATGTGAAATCTGCAGCTTTCTAATACCTGCTATGATAGGTCACTGCTGGCCTGTGTTGTCACCTTGTCACATGCGCCCCTTGGGTAAGTGGCCATGACAGTCATGTTGCACAGTCATTGTCCTCCATTGTCACTATCAGGAAGCCACTCCAGAGTAATGACAGTAAAGGGGGATCTATGGTGGAGTTTGGATATGGCTGTCCATTTTACAATGCAGTTACACCACCCCGCAGCCACCTCACGAGGCAGAGCCTAAGAGGTGGGGAATGCCCCCACCACATTTGAGGGGCTAGGAGGAGGGTTTGCCAGTGACAGTTTTGCATGCCCTTGGGTGAACTTGGCAAAACTTGGTTCACACCAAGCGGCAGCTCACTAGTAGCAATGCTCAGTGTGGCATTCTTTTGAAACATTTCCCCAATTTCGTTCAGGTAGATTTGGTTTATGACATGGAATATAGGATTTTTTAGAAGTAGCACATGACCAGAGTCATACAGGTGACTTCTGAAAACAACATCTGTGTAGTTCTTCAGTAATCTGTGTGAATCTTTTCCAGGGATCTCAAGTCTCCATGATGTTCAGGGAGTCTCCCTCTATTAGATAGCGGCTCCCTGATGTTCGCGAGAGAGGCATTTTCTCCCTGAAAGGTTTACTCTGAGTAAACCTTTCCGGTAAGATATCAGTGGGTAAAGTTTCAGAGTGAGGCTTGCCTCCTGGAGGAAGGTCATGTGATCTCTAGAGTGGCCTCAGAACGAGGCTTGCCTCCTGGAGGAAGGTCATGTGATCTCTAGAGTAGCTCTCAGAAGGAAGAAGCTACTTGCTACACAGAGAGGGCGGACGTAGACTACTATAGAGAGCAGGTACAGGCACTGAGATCTACTGTTCACCCTTTGTGGATAATATAGAATCAATTATATGTCCTGGTTGTCTACTTATAGAGAACATTTATTTCATTTGCTGCCCATAGCAACTAGTCCACTGTGTATCAGGGACTTTACTCTTCAGCGGTTTTTTAAAAAGGTCTTGGGCTGTCTAATAAATTGTGACCTTTACACTAACAGATACTTGAACATCAATTCACAAATCTGATGTATATATATTATTATTATTATTTATTTTATATTCTGACGGCGGTCGCTGTAAAAAAACAGAAAGGGCACCTCCCTGACATGAGACGGGCATCTCCCTGAAATAAGGTTTTGCAGGTTGGGATGTCTGCTTTTCTAACACGTAATTCGTATTTGTGCGTCGGCAGGACTGTGCACCTCTGTCTGAGAAAAGCAGACCAAAAGCTGGTGATCCTCAAACAAATACCTGTGGAGCAGATGACCAAAGATGAGCGACTTGCAGCCCAGAATGAATGTCAAGTGCTGAAACTATTAAGTCATCCAAACATCATTGAATACTATGAGAATTTCTTAGAAGACAAGGCTCTTATGATTGCAATGGAGTACGCTCCCGGTGAGTAAAACAGGTTTTACCACCAAATTGTGGCAAAGGTGGACATTTCTGATGACACGCTTGCATTCTTACAATATACATTAATCTGTAAAACTTGCAGTCAAATGACCTAAAAATAATGTGTCAGTCTCCAAATTACATGTTAAACTTTGTGACTATTGACTGATTTAACCCATTAACCACAATCGTTGTTCATGGTCTGTGAAGACCTATTGCTTTGCAGCTTTAGCATTTCTCAGGGTGGGTTTTCTAATGTTGCCATCAGTAGACCATACCAGAACTGGGACCACCTGTATCACTGGGTATTACTACATAAGTCAGTACTGTCACCTTGGGATAGGAAATCTCTTGCTGGCAGGCTCACCGGGTGAAAATAAAGGAAAGAAGCCGAAATATGTGGCACTAACCTATTGACCTTATCTAAGGACTGGCATGATATTAGATTTTTGTTCTTAATTTAAATAAAAGTGACACTAAAACCCGGGAGTTAAATCCTAAAAATGCATTCAAGGACCTTAACTATTAACAAATAATGTATCTTATTTGTGTATCACTCATCTGTAGGTCCCCAAATCATCTCTGAATTCAGGCTGACACTGTCCTTCCTTCTGGAGGGTGGCTACTTTTGTTCCCCATGGTCCCTGTGTGTGTTGTAAAGTAGCCACTGCTCCAAGCTCACTCTCGTGATGGACTACCATCTCAATACAAATTAGTAAACTTAATATGAGATAAAGTGGCACTGCTCCAAACTCACTCCTGTGATGGACTACAATCTCATGGTTAGTTTACTAATTTATATTGAGAGTATGGTCCTTCCCGGGAGTGAGCTTGGAGCGGTAGCTACTTTACAACACACACAGGGACCATGGGGCTTCCCCACTGCTTGCGTAACCTAACTTGGCGGGGCAAGAGCTGCCACAGCCTCTACCCTGTGTTGGAGGCTTGAGCTCTGTGGATGGCTTAGACCAATAGCAAAGTGCCATTGGTCCAAGCTGTCCAATCAAAAAAAGAAAATAACCCAGTGAGGACATCGCTCTCGATGCCTCACCAGTGACGAGCAAGTGAGGGACAGGGAGGCTCCTCCTTGTCTCCTCCCTTCCTCCTCCCCACACAGCTTGGTTACTGAGCTGGGGGCGGAGCTTCGGCGGGCTGGGGCGGAGCTTCGGCGGGCTGGGGGGTGCCTCACCCAGCACAGAAGGCACGGCACGTCACTGTCCAGAAGGAAGGACAGTGTCAGCACCAATTCAGAGATGATTTGAGGATCTACAGCCGAGTAATAAGATACATTTTTGTTAATAGTTAAGGTACTTGAATTTATTTTTAGGATTTAACTCCTGAGTTTAGCGTCACTTTGAGAACATAGAGCACCTAGCAAACAACAGCAGAGATCTAGAAAAGGTCAGGTCACCAATTTCACTTGTTTTATAAAAAAGCAATTAGTGCTGAGTTGCTGTGGTGTCTAGTGTTAAAAGATGTTTCAGAGGACAAGCAGGCCACGTCGTCACGTACAAGTCCTGCTTCTCTATTGTGAGCCCATGAATGCCTTTACTTTTCAAGAATGCTTGTCATCAGCCCCTATCACATTTTTAACTACTAGATCTGCAATACTTATGGATGAAATACCATATGCTGAGAGACTTTCTCTGTGTATTAGAAAATAGCTACCCGTAATGTTTTTTCCTGACCAAGTCTTTGTTGATGGTTTCTCTGAGCTAATTGTTGTAAGAGTGCAGAGGTTCCCAACTTCCTCTACTAGATAAACATTATTCTTAAATTCATTCAGTAATGCCAGCCACTGTAATAAAGTTTAGTTACCGTTGGTAGGAGGCAACAGTACTTTGACATTTATTTCGTCATGCAACGATGTACTGAAATACATTTTTTACCATTTTTTGGGGACAGATAGAGCTTTCTTTTGGTGGTATTTATTCACCACTGGGGGTTTTTATTTTTTACTATATTAAGGAAAAATTACTGAAAATTTTGAAAAACATTGTAAGAAAATAATTATTATTACCCAATATTTTGGTAAAATTTAAAAGACAGGGTCACGTCGCGTAAATAGTAAAACAGCAAAAAGTTTTCCTGGCACACTCACAAGCTAAAAACTTCCCTCACCACTAGGGTTAAAAACAGAGGTTCAGATACATGTCTTCTGCAGAAAATGTGAAAGCAGCACAGCCGCGACAAGGCACCTCTTATAGTGCGGTCCTAACTCTAAACTATGAGAGTCTTTATCACATTTTCTGCAGAAGACGTGTATCCAAACCTCTGTTTTTAACCCTAGTGGTGAGACAAATTTTTTTTTTTTTTTTTACATGCTAGCTTGTGAGTGTGCCAGGAAAACTTTTTGCAGTTTTACTGTTTAAAGCCCATTCCATGTGCACCTTGCTTTACAGCTGGTGACGAATTGATGAGTCGTTTGTCATTTGTTTTGCTTGACATCGGGTAAATAGACACCAAACATGTCAAGCTTTAAAATTGAGTGCACCCGCGAAATCGCAAAACACTACCATACCCAAAATTTACCATAGGCGACGCTTTAGAAGCTTTTACCACTCATCAGTTTAGTGTTATGAGTGACTGGAATTATTGCTCTCACTGCGACATTTGCGGCCATATGTAACATGTGTGGCGTAATGGGCGCAGTCATTGTTTTCGCACATATGCACACCCGACGCATGTTTGCATGCATGTATGTATGGGTGGGGACTTTCAAAAAAAAAAATTGTGTTTTTTTTCCCCATGTGTGACCTTTAAATTTTTTTTTCCACTTAAGAAACCCCCCTATGTGATAGCAAAGAGGATGTGACAGGTCCTCTTTATGGAGACATCAGGGGTCTCCAAGACCCCTAATGTCACCTAGGGACCCCCAAAGAAGCTGATGAAGCATAGATCTTCTTCATCAGCTTCAGAAGCTGGAGAGTAACAGCAGAATGCGGAAGTGATGTAATAGACATCACTCTGACACCAGAGAGGGGACCAGAGGGAGATCATATACTGATCACCCTTTGATCCCGTCACTGAGCCACCATGCTGATCCCGGCCTCGCACCGTTCACAGCGGAGCCCGGGACCAGTGGGACAACGGGAGGGGGGAGCCACGGAGGGGGGCGAACTTACCGGCACCTCATGCAAGTGATCCGCCAGCTCTATCGCCGGCAGATCGCCTGTATGTAAACAGGCATCACTGCCTGTTTTTAAAGTTTGCCACTTTCCCCGACGCGCGCGCCGTCCAGGAGGTAGTTAAACACTTTCTATGATTTGCTAGTCTATTTTTGGGCAATTAAGTTGTAAACGGATATTTCCACAATGCAATATATGTCTACCTGAGACTCTTGGCTAGCCATAGGCCAGTGCAGGTCTTCCCTAGAGCAGTGGGTGAGAAGATATCTTTTTGTTGTCTGTGGCACTGCTCCTGCAGTATGCCAGCTAGTGAAGGATCCGCCAGGTCATCTAGAGTGATAACGAGACATTCTGGTGTTAGTAAATGATCATAGCACAAAACTGTAACTACATATATAACACCACTAAGCACCGTCAGTATCACAAATGCCTAGACATGTGCACAGGCAAAAGATTCATGTCGTTTTGTTTTCATTCGGATTTTGGGATTCTGGTCCGAAAGTAAGTTTTGGGATTTAGATTCTGACTCTCCTACAATCCTTTAGCAGTGGGTATACTTGGGGGCACTGGAAGACACTGTGAATCGCACTGACACTTTGAATCTCACTGATACTGTGACTCACACTGATGACACTTCACTGAAGACACTGATCTGCACTGATGACACTGCGATATGCACTGATGACACTGTCACGATACCGAGCACGGGTGTCCCAACAGGCAAATCACCCACAGAAAATAACAGGGCTGGTCATAACCTGGGGAGCAGGGCAACAAGAGGAGGACCGGGAGCCACAGATCAGGAAACCTCAGGGGTAAGGTTCCGGAGTCAGGGTCCAAGGCAGCGACAGGATACTGGTTACAGGAAACTGGTTTACAGGATATGGCAACAATACTGTGGCACAGGCCTCACAGCAGGGAGAGGTTAAATACCCTTCCAGAGCAGCACCAGGTGGTGACTAATTGCTGGCAGACACCTGCAGGCGAGCACTGGAACTGCAGGATCAGGTTCCAGCTCCACAGTGCCACCTGGAGGTGCTCTGGTCCCTGACAGACACTGTGAATTGCACTAAGATACTCTGAATCGTACTAAGATACTGTGATCTGCACTGACAGAGTGTTCTATTTTGGTGTGCGTCACTTTAAACCATGACAGCTGGGATTTGTCACAGCAGATGGCAAGGTATAGAGCCGATTTCACTGGCTCTATACCGTGTTTTGGCAACCACACTGTCCGATGGACACAGTTTCCCCGCATGTGCGAGCGTGAGCGGGGACGGGGAGGATGTTTAAAAACGGCAACCCGCATTCAAGAAGCCGCTGTCTGGCCGTTTAAATACAACCAACAGCTAGACAGCAGGTGGTTAAGGTTGGCACTCCTCTAGGTCTCTGACATTGACTGAACGGTACTGTCACGTAGCTGGTAGCAGATGGAATAGCTGAGGAGGCCTCCCTTGCACCTCTTGTCTCGCACCCCTGGAGGAAGGGACAGGGAGTGAAAGACAGAGAGTAACACGGCGTGCGAACACCGTGCTCGGCCACTGTCCAGAGGCAGGTTCCCGAGGCAGGACCAGGATCCAGCTGGCAGAGCTACACGGTGCTGGGTCAGGAATGGTACCATGGCAGCAAGCAGAGGTGGAGTCCAGACACAAGCAAGAGGTATGGGGCAGGCAGCGTTTAGACAAGGTCAAGGCAACAGGAGTTCAACAGGCAAGAGTGCCAGGATGCACACACACTAGCTGAAAGACCAATCAGCAGCATCCAGTAGCATCAGGTGGGTTAAATAGGCTTATCCATCAGTAGCAGATCGGGCATTTTCCGTGCGTCAGTCTTAGAGCATCTTTGCGTGCACGCAAAGCCGGATTTCCTACAAGG